ACGATTCTCCCCTGTGGGTTTCTGCAGGAGCATGGCCCTGCCCACACCTTCATGTCAGACTCTGGCCTCTAGAAGCGTGGGACACTACATCGTTGTGGTCTGAAGCCGGCTGGTTCGGGGTGCTTTGTCATGGCCGCCCTAGGAGACAGGTGTAATACCCAGTAAGCATTTGTGGAATGGTTAAGTGTGTTCAGGTGCAAGACATTTTGCCCTGGATTCTGCCCCAGCATTCGTGCTCTGCTAGTGCTCTGCTAGTCTAGCCTCGGGACTTTCTTTTTTTTTTCTTTTCTCTCTCTACTGTTTTTGTCCTTTGCAATCCATGCACTGTAGATCACCGAGCGACTTTGTGCTACTTTATTATAAAAACCTTTGCTTGTCATAGCAGAGGGTGCGTCTGTGCACCACACTGGAAAGAATGAGGGTTTGTGCCGTGAAGTGTATTTGTGTCCCAGCAGCTGTTTCTTTGAGCAGCGGGCTGCTTGCTGGTGTTCGGGAGAAGCGACGGAGGCCTGCGCTCCCTGCCCTCTTCTCCTTTCAACTGGTGAGAAACAGAACCAAATCGAAGATGCTATAAAAACATACCCTCTCGCCAGACAGGAACTCCAGGTCCAGAGGTTGCCTGGGCTCCATGTGTTAGTTTGGTGGCTCAGGGAGGTCCCTGGGGATGTCAGCCCCTCTGTCTTCTGTCCGGAGGACAGATCTCATCCTAAGGCAGGTGTCCCCATGGCCATCATGATAGCTGATCAGGGCCATTTTCTCCATCGACCTCCTGTCCCATCCCTGAACCAGCCACTGCCAAAGGGGTGGGATTAGGTCATTGGCCCAGACTAAACCATCTGAGGATGGATGGGCTCTGGAGAGACACACAGTGCCCCTGGCACTCTCCAAATTAACAACTCATATGCAGTGTTGCTGGGGAGAATGATGCCCTCCCCGAAAGAGTCTCCATCCTCAGCCCCAGAGCCTGGGACTGTGTTGCCAACAGTACAGGGCAAAAGGACTCTGCAGTTGTGATTCAGTTAAGGATCTTGAGATGAAGAGATTTTCCTAGATTATCCAGCTGGGTCTGTGTAATCACAAGGGTTCTTCTAAGAAGGGCGTAGAGGATCAGTGTAAGAGAAGATGAGAGGACTGTGCAGAAGTCAGAGAAGAGCAAAGATGCTGAGCTGCTGGCTTTGAAGGTGCTGGAAGAGGCCACAAGCCAAGGGACGGATGCAGGCGGCCCCTAGAGGCTGCATATGTGCTGCCGCAGCGAGCGAAGCCCCTAGAGGCTGCAAAAGGCAGGGAACAGGTTTGCCCCTAGAACCTCCAGAAGGAACACAGCCCTCCTGACACCTTGGTTTTAGCCCCGTGGAACAGATTTTGGACTTCTGACTTCCAGAACTGTAAGATAATAAATGTGCCTGGCTTTAGGCCAGTAAGTTTGTGGTGATTGATTATAAAAACAATAGGAAGGAAATATACCATTGTTTCTTTAGGTGGACTTGCATCAGTCTAGACCTTTTCTAAGAGAAGACCCTTGTATTTATTTTGAATATTCTATAGTGTGTACATGGAAGACACACAAAGATTTATGGATTGAACAAAGGACAGACCCAGCCCCTGGGCCTGCCGCCAGGTATGGGCTTGCTGGCCCAGCGATCCGCTCTCAGAGTGGTAGATGGCGGCTCCTTCCTTCAGCACCAGTGCTGGGTGCGGGGAATCCAGAAACAAGTAAGATCATGTCCTCACTCACAAGCTGCTGAGTGTCTCAGCCATTTGATTCCATAAATATTCTCACTGTCAAATCGGATTCCTTCCAGATGTCTGCTCTGTCTTTGTAGCTAAAGCTGGTTTCCTCTGAAGCTTTTTCAAACTTGCTGATTTTTTTTTTTTTTTTGTAAGTTTGAGCAAGGGTCAGGAAGAGCGCAAAGATGTTAAGCATATCCACAGATAGAGCTATTTTTAGGGTGCCCCATGTTGCTGCGATCAGCAGTAATTCCAGCAGACAGGTCTCAGGGTCCGTGGAAGGGGTCACCCGCCTGTCTCCTGCCCTGTGTCAGTTGGACAGAGATGCTGCTGTTTGGAAGTTGTCTTTGTGGTTTTTATCTCCTCCCCTCTCAGGCTTTCCTGTGCTGCAGGGGCCGGGCGGTGAGCACAGACAGCCCGTTTAGGAAGTGCTCGTTACTGTCCCATGGGGCAGCTCTTCCTGGGAAGCCTCTGGCTTTCCTGGGGGTGACACGTGACCGGTGGCCATCTATGGAAAATGTCTGGGAAGGTAACAAATAATGGAGCAGAGAAATGGGGTGAGGGAACTGACCTTGAGTGATCTTTTCCAACCCAGGAAGTCTCTCTTGAGGAAACTAAGGTAGGGGTTATCTGTGGAGCAGCTGCCCACCATTGTGATCTCGGTGGTAGCTTAGCAAGGACAGGAACTCAGTCCTCTGGTACTAGCTCGACATTTCTAGGCTCCACCGCTGGAATTTGAGAGCCGGGCTTTAAAGGCCTAATGCCCCTCAGAGCGTGTCGGGAGGTAAATTTAGCAGTATTCATTTAGGCTCCTGGCTCTGCCCCTGCCCTGCCTTCTTCTGTCTGTAGTCAGAGTCATATGCTGGAAATGCATAGGCCCTGGAGGCTCAGCCCGGGTCGGAACCCCACTTCCTAGCAGCATGACTTTGGACAAATTTGGACAAAATTCATATGTCACATGTCCAAAAAGAATTTGGACAAATTCCATAAGGCACCTTTCCTATCTAGGAAATGGAGATAGTTGTCCCAGCAGAACCAGGAGTGTTTCTAGGATTGGGGGAGTTCGTGGGTGCACGGCACTTCTCCCTGGGCCTGGTGCAGCCTGAGCTCTATGCAGATGTCTCCCTTTGCCATGACCTTCACCGCCGCCAGCCTGCGGCGTAGATGACCGCCTGACACTCCGGTGCTGGTCTGTGGTCTCTGCTTTATCCACCAGGGCCCCTAGAATGGGAGTCCACTTCCAGTTTATACTGTTGTCAGCAGCATTTTGAGGACCATCCTCCTGGGGAAGGATTTGCTGTGGTCCTTGGTTGTTTTCTCTGGTTAATTTTCCAGACCTAGAATTGCCACGTTGAAGAGGGGACTCATTTTTAAAGGCTTTCCTGGGTGGACGCTGCCGGGTTCTCCTCCAGAAAAGGACTGGTTTACACTCCTTCCAGCAGTGCATGAGGGTGCCAGCTTCCTTGCAGGGCCAGGTTATTAACTTTTAATCAAATGAAGGCCCAGGAAAAATAGGAGATATTTCCCTGGGGATAAAGCGTTCCTGGCTTTTGCTCCTAAAGCAGCAGAGGCTTGGGAAAACCTCAAGAGCCCAGGAGGCCCACAGCGCGCGTGCAGACCGCGCCCTCTACTGGTTTGCCCTGGTGGAGCATTGTGAGCCGCCGCAGATGGGGATGCCCTGTGGTCTCTAACTCCCTCTAGTGGCTGCAGGTGCCAGGGGCTAAAGGACGACCATTTACCAAGACTCCCGGCTGAATTCTGCCCGGCTTCAGGGGACCGTTAGCTCTTGCTCAGTTTTCTTACAATGGTGCTTCATAGACTGGGATTTTTTGCTCCCCAGGGAACACTTCATACTGTGTAGAGACATGTCTAGATGTCACAGATGGGTGACATCTGTGTGGAGACATGTCTAGATGTCACAGCCGGCTACTGATTTGTGGAAGGTCAAGGCCAGGGATACTGATAATCATCCTACAATGCGCAGGACCCCCCCACCCCCACCCCCAACAAAGAATCATCCGGCCCACATGTCAGTCATATTCAGGCCAAGAAACTGTGTTTTAGAGGAACCGGGAGTGTTCTAGAAGGCTTCTCTTTTCAGACTAAAACAGGATATAGAAATATCAATATTGAATACATATTACTTTCAGCACTTTTTTTTTTATTTTTTGGTTCTGGAAACCTGTTAGTTGTGCAGAATAAAATGGAAAATAGGAGGAACTGAAAAATAGCACACTGGTGTTTCTAGAACAGCAGGCGGAGGGAGAGATGCGAACCATAATAATGTCACTAGCATGAATAAGGGACAACATTTTTCCCTGTTAACTTGGTTTGGTTGAACCTACCGTCAGTGCCAGCAAGCTTTCCCTTGAAGGCCTTGTCTGTGAAAAATAGTGCTTTGTTTGATGCCGCCCCGATTTCATGAGTCCCAGTATTTTCATAACATTTATAATGAGCTTTCTGGGGCTTGATGCTGGATTACCATCTGTGGTTGTAGTGTGCTCCCCCACGCCCAAGTGCTGATTCAGTCATTGTTTCTAGGAGGGGGAAGGAGGGGAATTTCACAAATAATCTTAAAGAGGATATACGGTGGAGGGAGCAGCGTGACAAGAATTTTGGGAAAATCAAACTGAATTAAAGCTTACTTTGACATTTGTTGTGTCTGAGGACCTCTTTCACCAGCCTTACCCAAACCTTTAGAAAATACTCCTCTATTTCATTTTGCTTTGGCCTCACTTGTCTCTGAATGACTTGGAGTCTAGACTACACATCTTAAAACAGCTAGAGTGGCCTTATTAGGTGTCCTAAATGACGCTAAGGGGATTATTTTGCCAGAAGTGGAGAGCAAAACAAAACTGAATGAAACAACAGCTTTTCCTTCAATATCAGATACTATTTTGATCATCTTCCTTGAGAAATTATTTTTCACATTGCAGGTCCCGATCTGTTAGTGGGTCGTAAAATCGATTTCTGGGTCACAGTCGGCATTTAGAGAAAATCAGAGCGGAAAGTACTACCTTTCCGCTTTGTATAGACTCAAGGTGCCTTTTATTCTGCTGATTATAGACAAACATGTCACCGTATGTATTTACACATGTGTGTGTGCGTGTGCACACACGCACACGTATACACACGCCTGGCGAGAGGCAGTGGCTTGGGTTTTGCCTTGTGGTGAAATCCGGCTTCTTTTCAGATGATTTTGTTCTCTTCCCAGGATTTCAGTGATTCCCGCTTGCCTCCCGTGCTCAGCTCTGCCTGCGTTTCTTTTGCAGGTGGCACCAGGGAGATTGGCTCCGCCCTGACCAGGATGTGCATGAGACACAGGAGCATAGAAGCCAAGCTCAGGCAGTTCTCCAGGTGAGGAGCGCATCTCAGTCCGGATTTCACCGGCTCCTGCTGGTTGCAGGGGAAGGGGCAGTGCCTCGCTCAAAGCAGCATGTGTTTCCCCGCAGCGTTGAAATGCCCGCAGCCGGTCGCGCTGCTCCCTCACTGGGCAAGTATTCGTGGGCCGCCTGCCACGTGCCAGGCTCTGGTCAGTGGGTGACCAGATGGCCGGGGCCTGCCCGCTGGAGCCCAGACCCCACTTTGTGCTCCTGTGGGTCTCTCCTGGCCCTCCGCTGGCATGAGAGCAGGGCGTCTGCTCTCTGCAGAAGATTCTGGAAGGGGAGCTGCGGGGCTGGGGAGCAGGCACGTGCTGCTCCTCCATTTCCTGTGGGCCTCCTGTCCACCCTCCATGCTGCCCGCCTCTTGTCTGTCTTACCAGCACCCAGAATGGGCAGAACTGGCAGTTCTGGTTGCCCATGGGGACTTGGAGTCACCAGTGTTTTGGTGAGGGGGGCCTTCTTCCAAGCAGATCAAACCATTCTGCTTGATGGATCGTGAGTTGTGTGAAGGGTTGCCAACATGAGAGGCCTCTGCCCCTCCTGGCTGGGCCACCCTGGGAGGTGGCAGAACGTGGTGGAAGTGGCTGGACTTGGAGACAGAGAGGCCTGGGTTTGAACCCCGGACGGGCCACACAGGCGTCGGCCTCTTGGTTGGAATCTCAGCTTCTGTAATATGGGGTGCTTGTGAACATTCACGGAATGCCCACACATTTCCAGCACAAGGTGCCCAGGTAGCAGGTGAGGACTCTGCTGCCTTCCCTCCCACTTGCTTCCGGGCCCTGCGGCGCCTCCGGTCCCGCTTGCCATCGGGTTTATTTGCAGGCCAGTCTTGCGGTTCCCCAGCCCGTCTGAGGGATGAGGAGACAGCGGCTCAACGGGCGGTATTTATGGAGCACCTGCTGTGTGCCACACTCTGTCTTAAGGCGTGTGGGCGGTGGCAGTGAGTAGGACCATGTCCTGTCCTCATGGGGCTTACACTCCAGATGCCACGATGCCTCTCACCATGTCAGGCGGTGGGAAGTGTCACGAGGTGAAATCCATGGGTAGGAGAGAGGCAGCCATTGTTCCACACCGGGTAATTAGGGGGTGAGCCTGTTTGGAAGGACGATTTGAACAGAGACCTGGAAGAAAGAAGAGAGTGCGCAGTGTTGATGGCTGGCGGGTGCGTGGGGTGGAGGACACCCTGACGAGGAAAGGAGGGAATTGTATCAAGAACTTGAAGATTTTTAGGAAGCCCATGATCAAAAAGTAGTCCCAAGAACACCTTCAGAGCAATTCTCACCAGAGCAATTCGAGTGATTTGTGGGAACTTCCTAATTTTCCTGCGACATCTCGGTGATGTAGGAACGTATCCATTTTCCTTCCTGGGGGGCCATGCCTCGCACGGTTCCTCTGGGTGGGGAGCCACCTGGGGACAGTGCACAAAATGACGGGATACCTGGGGATGTCTTTGCCGCTCTGATCCAGAAGCTGGTCCTTTAGCTTTTCCTCCCCCAGGCTGGCCACACGTGGTCTACACTCATGACTTCTCATCCCAAAGGCACATCAGAGTCATGTATGTTTCTTTAAAAAATATAAAGTAATACTGGGATCCCGCCCTCCAGGTTTCTGTCAGGCGGGAGGTCTGGGGTGCAGCTAGAGGGGTGACCCCCTGGCCTGCAACTATGCTTGTGAACACAAGAGTGAGAGTATGAGCCAGGGAAATGGGAAGAGGGCTCGCCCCTTCCAGGCATAGGGACGGCCTCCTGCCAGTCCCTGGAGAATGTTCTGAGAATAAAGTTGTTAGGAAATGGTGGGATTTGGACGTGAACTTGGGCTTAGGTACTGCCTTGTCTGGCACCCGGTTGTCACGATTTACGTAGTTTTGACAACCGAGTATGAATTTTCACCAAGAATGTATCTGTTTAATTTCTCCTTTTCTTTCTTTTTTTGGGAAAAAGTGCTTTGATTGATTGTCTGATAAACCCGCTTCAAGAGCAGATGGAAGAATGGAAGAAAGTGGCCAACCAGCTGGATAAAGACCACGCGAAAGGTACGGGGCGCAGGCTGTCCGCGGCCCAGCAGCATGTGCTCCCAGTGCTGTGGCCGGCTGCCGCCTTGGGCCTCTGCTGGCGTCCCCCATCAGGGCCCCCTCTGGTCCCACTTCTCCCATTTCAGCGCTGGAGGATAAGGGCCCCTGATACCTCCCTCAGCGGCTGATGGCCCGGGCTCTCAGAGGTGTTAGTTGTGATCGGTGAATGAGACCTGGATGGTGACAACAGGCTTCGATGCCAAAGTCTGACACGTAAGGCATTGGGGCACATTTCGAAAGCCAGCCTCTTAAGAGAGGAGCTAACCTGGGTGTCCTGCCTGGGACCGCCACCCTCTCTGAATGTGCTTCAACACAGGTGACTCTGCACCACGTGGGCCAGGCCCTGGGGGCAAAGGGGTCCCGACAGATGCCTCCCCAGTTGGTCTTCCTGGGCCCAGAGGCTGGGGTGCTGGCAGCGGGGAAGGGCAGGACATGTCCTGCGACCTGCACTGCGTGCTGGGGAGGGAAGGCATAGGGGAGACTGAAGATGGGAGGAAGCAAGAATGAAGGGCTGGTGCCAGCAGGTCCCCAGAGCCCTTGTGGCGAGGGCCCGGGAGTGGCGGCATGGGGTTCGGGGGAGCGAGGCGTCCAGGAAGGCTGCGAGGGAACTGGCCGAGGGGGCAGTTACTTGAATATGAGGGCAGCAAAGGAGGAGAGAAGGTCAGAGCTGTTGTCATTTCAGGTGTCCGTGTCTGGGTGAGGGTGGCGCCAATGGAAGCGGACGTCTAGGAGCCAGGTGTAGACTGGTAGAGGAGGAGGAAGTCATTGTTTGGGGGGACGTGTCGTCTGTATGTGGGCCGCCCCTCCTCGGGGTCTAGTGCCTGCCTTGGCGCCAGTGCGAGAGTAAGGCTAAGGCACCCGGGCCTTTCCCAGTTTGCCCCCACGCCATCCGATCTCTCATGCTGGGGTCTTGGGGGCTCCTGCTGAATTGCAGCATCTGGCCAGCGTCTTGCCACATGAATTATTTTTTGAGCAAAACACTGCGAAGTTGGGCCTTTGGGAAAGCAAATCCCATTTTCCAATTTCTTGTTTGGTGAGCCGAGAAATTGTGGATTTTTCACTTTTGGTAAAATATCCCCCCAAATGACGTCTTCCTTCACAGCTGATATGAGTGAATGCTATCAGGAAAAGACCAAGGCACATTCTGTGGTTTTTCATGTTAATAACCCCCGTGCTGTAAAATGTCAGCATGAGATTGTTATCATATGGTGGTTCTGAATAAAGCTCTGTATTGTGTATCATCGTTTTTGCTTTCTCTGATGAAAGTAATGGTTCCTCCTTAGAATGTTTCCCATTGAGCAAAGTGGTAAAATGACTCAATATTCTGCTTTTTCTTAGAATATAAAAAAGCTCGCCAAGAGATAAAAAAGAAATCCTCAGATACGCTGAAACTACAGAAGAAAGCAAAAAAAGGTAACTCTACACGATCTGCCATTAATAACGTTACTTTGGGGAAACAAGCACGTGCTTGGTTTTGACTTTGAAGCAGAAAGCACTCGATTCAGACCTCGTTGCATATGATGGCCCTGGGGAGCAGGAGCGCATAGAATCCATCTGAATTAAAGTTCTCAGGTGCAGAATATCTATTAATTTGAGGCCCTTACAAAGTTGTACTTGACTTATTCCCTCCCCCCACATTTGTCTCCAAAATTTGACAGTTTCTATGCCTATTGTGTGTTGTAATGAAACCTATAAATTTCTTGGAAGCCTTGGGATCATGCATAAAAGCCTTCATGCAAATATCCCACTAGAGTAATTATTACAGAAATTATGTCCTTTTCTCCTCCATCTTTCACAGCCTATAATCTCTGAAACCCTTTATTAAGCCTTGTGAGGATGTTAGAAACGGCTGCAGTGGGAGCCTGTGTGGTACAGAGAGTTTTCATGGTGTTCGTGAGTGTGGGGGGCCTCCCTAGGGAAAACCAGACTGGGGCAGCGTGGCCCTCTGCCCACCTCCCTGCCTGCTGTCACCCACACACAGGCCCCCTGTCAGATCTGTGACCCAGATCTGCTCTTCCAGCGCGGACTGGGAACGTGCAGAGAAAAATCTAGCTACATCCACTTTGTAGGCATTTGTGACATTTTCCTAAGACCTAAAAATCTAGGGTCTTGAACTTTAGAAGGTGACAGTCTTTCCAGACTATTCTTGATGCCGGCTTTTTAAATTTGTTGTGTCACAACTGATAAAATATTTTTGTTTTCCCCATGAGGCTCTTCTGTGTTTGGTGTATGCTTGGGACAATTTTTAGGGAAACGTCCCCAAAATCAAATTTCCTCCTTTCCTAAATGGTCAGTTCTTATTTGGAATGAGAGGAAAATACATTCAGAGAGCTGGAGTAGTTTGGTGGAAGGGGGGCAAGGACTAGACAAAGTTTTTTAAGCTTTGACATTTCTCAAAAATGTTTTCCCAGTTCTGGTGAAAACCGCAAAACCATTTCATGATAAGAGCAGGAGAATTTGCATCCATAACCCGGTTTTCTGTCAGCATTGGCCTCACTTGTTTGTTTTGGATGTGTTTTCTTGGTCTTGATGCTGTTTGAACATGTGCTTTATCTTCCTGGTGCACCTAGGAGCTAGCGTTGGACAAGTAACAGGGTTTGAGGCCTGGAACATTTCAGTGAGTTTAGAGGTAAATGCTTATAAATAAAACAGCCACCACCTCCATCAAATCTGGTGTCCCATGGAAGAGCTGGCTGGTCAGAAGTCAGAACTGACTTCCATGTTGTTGACAGGTTGGCAGCTTTGAGATGAAAGGGATCTGGAAGGAGGGCCCAGGGAAGACACAGGTTGGGAAAGGTTTGGAAGTTTGGTAAAAAGCATGAGGGAAGAAAAAGGAGCTGTTTTCCCTCAGCTTTTCCAGAGTTCTCTTTCCAGAGGCCTTAAGTTCTTGGCTGCGGGGATAATCCTTTTATCTGAATTCTGCACGGAGGCGGAGGCGGAAACAGTGCATGTCTGTCACTCAAGGTCCCTGGCATTGTCTGTCACTCAAGGTCCCTGGCATTGTCCAATTAGCACAGTTTGGACCTACAGGGCAAGCCTGATGGGTTCATTGCAGTCCAGCACAAAAGGAAGTTTCTGGTAGTTAGACTTGACCAAGCACTGGGTCAGACTGCTTAGAGAGTGTAATGAGTTCCCCATCAAGGCATCCGATGGAAAGCTTCAGGACACCTAGGGTGCTGGACTATGTAACATGAAGAGACGCTTCTGGTCCCAGGATTGGCAGTAGAATTGGCATTTGGTTGTGAAGCTTTGCAGGGCACTTGTGCCTGAAGGCAGAGAATGGAGGCTGTGACCAGGGGTTTCTGGAAGCATTCTCTCAGCCCTAGCCACATAGCTGGTGGTCTCAGGCACCACTTCCTCCTAGACAAGGTGGCCATGGTGGTGTAGTTATGTACACGCACCAAGTCAGATCAGTTGCTTATAATGTTCCATATGATTTTCTCTTTACTCCAGAGTATCACCAGAAAACAGTTTTCTTTCTTTCCATTACAAAAATACTTTTTTCTGAGATATATAAGCACATTTTTTTGACTGAGTGCACACATTTGTGTATTTTTGGGGTGAATGGAACCTTCTAGAAGGTACTGGTTATAATGTCCTGGTTATAATGGAGTGCTCTCCTAGAAGAGGGATAGCCTGAGCATGGAGCAAGAATGTGACAAGTTACGGACCAGCAGAAATCGGTTACTTGAGGCGTCCAGTGATTTGGGGTCTGGTTACCTGAAGTTTCCCTTCCCACCAGAACTGCTCTCGGGGCATCTGCCTCACCTTCCACAGGTGGTGGCTTCCTGGATTCTCAGCTTATCAAGCGTTGGTAGTTTCTTCTGAGATCTACACGATGTGTTATGGTACTTCAGGTCCTTTTTATATTTTTCAGATACTTGCTTCAGTTCCTTTTTTTTTGTCCTGATGGAATGGAGTCTGATAACCACATAATCACTTCACCTTTAATGTGTTTTCAGGAGATCACCAAGCAGCTTTCTGCCATGCCTTTTTAAAAAACTGTGATCTTTGATCTAAGAGCTCTTCTGACTCTCCTTTTCAAAATTTCAAATGCCTCTGTGCACTTAAGTATGGTGATAGCGCTGCCCTTGACGTAGGCAGACATACGCAGGTCGTCCTTTTTGTATGTGGCTAATATCATTTTCACTCTGCAGATCATCACCTTTTGTCACATGTTTTATTGGGCGCTTTTCCCCCTCTTTATTATAAGAGAGTGGTAATTTATAATCTAAAGGTATTTGAATATTACCATCCAAAAAAAAAATTCAAACGTTTTTTGGGGGATTTGATTAGGTTTTATCTCAAAACCATTTCAGAACGACTTGGCATCTGCTCCAGCTGTGAGCGGGTGTAGCTATTTTAGCAGGAGGCAGGCTTACCCAACGCCTGCCAGGAGTAAACATGAGGCAGATGCTGGGGGCTGCAGAGACAGTAGCCATCCTCGGAGACGTTCCAGTCTGATGCCCAGGACTAGGGACCCAGGGCAGAGCCAGCCTGATTGACAGGCAATAGAGAGAAGACTGAGGCCACGGGAAGGCAGGGTGTGGTGTGGAGCAGAACCAACAGTCCAAGCTCTAGAAGGCGTCCGATGAGTCCTAGGCAAGCCCTGCGGCTTGATGTCAGCTCGGGTCCTAGGGCTGGCCGAGACTTCATGGGGAATGAGTGTGGGTCGATTGTGGGAAACGTGTACTATTCTTGGCTTGTTTTGCTGTCTTACTGTACAGTCAGCAGCCTCACTTCTCCTCTAACTCCCAGATTGCTATTAATTTAGATGTAAAAATTAATCATGGTCAAGCATTTCTGTTTCCATCTGTAACTACTGGAAGCTTCTCAGGACTTTCTCTGAGGCTGCTGAAACTGGGGTGTTTTACTGTATTAACCCTGGAGCCCGACACTTCAGTCGTTCAATCTATCTTTTTTGACCAGATAGTAAAGTATATTTATGGTAAAGACTAGAAACCCAATAAAGAGACTCACGGAGGTGCAGATGAACACGTTATTTGCCCGTCTACTAGAATTTTAACTTTATTTTTTTTCATTTTCACCCCAGTTTAAATTTTGTTTCCTGGGTTTCCCTAATTACTTTTCAAGTTATAGTAAATTATACTTGAAAGATTTTCTTGGTGAAGCATCTTAATTGGCTTCAGAGAGGACTATAGGCTGCATCTCTCTTCTTAGAAACTGTGCTGTGATCTCTAGGGGGTGATGCTCGCTAACAAGGAAGGTTTCTGTTTAGAGGAGAAAGAAAAGTTTTAGCAAGTCAGGGAAGGGACTGTGGCTGCACAGCTCTTGGTGGAGGTGGGTTTCATTGCCCCCATAGAAAATCCAGTGGCAAGCCACGGACTGTTTAACCCATGAAAGGAAGGTAAGACTGCTGTTCGAATCCCAGTTTGACTTTATTATTTTCCTTTTTGTGTCAATTGTGAATCCTGCACTTTCTCACCGTGCGCCCCCCCTGCCAGTGGACGCTCTCGGTAAGTCTCCCGTCCCGACTCTCTGGTGGCTGGTCACGATGTGGTCCTTGCTGTGGGCTTTCCGTGGTTGTCCAGACCTACGCTAATTGCCCAAGTTTTCCTGCCAGCTCGGAACAATCAGTTGTACCTACTTAATTTTCCCTAACTTTAAAAAAATCGTGTGTGTATGTGTGTGTTTTAATCATTTTCTTTCTTCGGTGTTTGGCCCTTTCACGGGTTAGCCCAACATGCTGAGGGCCTTCGCATCATCATAACTCAGTATTAGACTCATGGAAAGAAGAAATACAGAGTGATTTGCATAGGAAATAAACCTATTTTTACATACATATATATCTGAGTAGATATGTATGTGTGTGTATATCACAAAACATGTAGAACTGCACTCAATAAACCCTAAAATAATCCCCAAATCAAATTTGGTTGTATTAAACTAGCAAAATTTCTTTAACTCTGTCTCCCCAGGACCATCTAGTTCTTTTCAAAGTGAATAATTCGTGGTCTTTAAAAAAAAAAATTGGAGTATTTCTTATTTCAGCGGAGTTTGTGAAATGTCTCATTTCAAAGGTATCAGATCTCCAAATTCAGTAATACCAGTGATTCTTCTTGACTGAATGTTGAACTTCATTCTCTGGGTGATTTGCTTTTGGAGTCTCGTGGCGATCCCTCTGTCTTGGAAAGGTCTGTCTGAGGTGTCCGTGTGATTTTTCTTGCCTTAAATGTGCCTGAGTGTCCTCTGAGAACATTTTTACCCAACAGCTCCACAGAGGTTTGAATTGGAATCTGTCCTCTCCAACAAACCCAAAAGGCCCAGATCTCCTATAACAGGTGGGGCGCTGACGTGGTCCACTGTCCTTTCACTCAGGGCCTGGCACTGCGTCTGCTTCCCCTCATGGTGACATTGGCCTAGTTGTTACCCAGCTTTATAAGTGATGATCTTCTCCAGCCCTCAGTGTTGTGATTGTGAAACACTTTGCACAATATTTAGTGAATTTTGGGGAGGAAGGTAAGACAGCCACTTTTTTTGCATATTATTATGATAAAATTTATATAACCTAAAATTTGCCATTTTAAAGTGTATGTTTCTGTGGCTTGTAGAACATTTACAACGTTGTGTGGCCATCGCCACTGTCGGATTCCAGAATATTTACACCACCCCGAAAAGACGCCCCCTGCCTTTTGATCAGCCACTCCCTGTTCCCTCTGCTCCCAGCCCTGGACTCCCACTCATCTGCTTTCTCTCCCTATGGGTTTGCCTCTTCCAGACATTTCATATAAAAAGAACTGCACAATAGGTGTCCACTCGATAACACAGAGTTTTATTGGAACCTTCGCTAAGAGCCATCTGTGCAGTAAACTGGGTATTTTACTCATGTTGAATGATGGGCAGTAGGGTTGGGGATGAGGAAAGAAACCACACAGCCCTTTGGCTCTGTAGCATAGGCTCTGCTCATCTCAGGAGAAGTCTCCACAGTTCCTTCCATTTCTTTCTCTTGCAGGGTCCGTAAGGCTCAGCCACAGTGACACGTAATCATAGCAGTGAACTTGGGTGTAAAGACATAAGCCCTCTTAACTTTTTTTTTTTTTTAATGAGTTTTAAATCATTTTGGAACCTGGACATCTATATTTTAATACAGTTTCGCACCAGTTAAAATGTCCTGGTTCAACGAGAGAAAAAAATATATAAACAAAACTCTCCTTTGGTGTAGTTACAAGTATCTACCTTGAACCCTGGGTTCCTGCATGAGCTTGGTTGGGAGCCTCCATGAGGGAAGGAATTTACAACTCAAAATGTATTCGGCTGGGGCTCTGCCCCCACCCCGAGGAACTGCGATTCTGGTGGAAGTAAACCAGTTAGTTTAATCTGGCGCTCTCTGTGCTGTGAGGACTATGAGCAAAAGCTCTGGTGGTGGGCGACGAAGGAACTCAGCTCGGCTTGGGGGTGGGGAGGCGAAAGTGAGGAAAAGGAAAGGGGTCCGCTGGCAGAAAATAGGGTGGGGGGTGTTCAAGGTAGAGGGGACAGTGTGTCCCAACATGTGGCTGTCACCATTTAGACAGGAGCACCGGAACCCTGGTCAAAGGTGACTGTGTCCTGAGGGGGGTGCCCTGAGGGCACATGTGCCTGCTACCCTGAGTCAGCTTTTCCGGAGGCCGCCAGTCTCGCCACAGGTGGACTGGACCCGCGTGAGATCCACAGGGATTCCCCCCATCCTTGTTCAGCTTCAGCTCCCTGGCTAGCCCAGCCTGCCTCCAGATGGTTCCATGGCTGGGCCACATTTCCGCTCAGACCCCAGACTGGACTAAACTTCCCCGCCACCATCTCCGCCTTCCTTAGCGCCCATGCAGTGCCAGGTCTCTTCCACCGGGAGCGTGGTCTGTGCGTCCCCACGCGGGTTCCTTCTGCACTTGCAAACCTGGCAGAAACCACTCTCAGAATGCTCCTGAGACCCGCAGCCAGGACTCTGTCCCTGCTGCTGAGCACGAGAGGCAGCCGGCCTCTCAGAAGCTGGCGGGGCTCGGCAAGGGACCCCCGCACACCTGTCCACCCCCCGCGTCCTGGGTGTGCCTCTGACCGTCGTCAGGAATCGCCATCTCCTTAGGACTGGGCTGCTGGTGTGAGGATGGAGCTGATAAGGGGCCCCCTGGTTGCTTCTGGCTGTCTGGGTTCCAAGACCCGGCCCTGGAAGTCGCTGACTCTTCTGACCGTTCTCTGCGGTCACCACCTCGCTGACATGTGTCTGCTGTCCACACAGCAACAACCCAGCCACTGTCCTTCCTAAATACTGCTGTACGTGGTGAGAGGCTGGGCCGTGGTCCCGCTGCTTCCCCCCCGCCCCCCGGCGCCCCCACCAGTGCAGACGGTGAAAGTGTGCTTTGGGCCCCGACCTGATGCTACTTTCTGCGGAAATGGAAGCTGGAACGGTTCCTTCCGAAGCCGGGGGACCGGTGATAGCCTTCGGAGGAGGTTTGGCCACGTGCAGCCTGGGGACGCGTCTGGGGATTTGGATCCAACTGTAACCAAGCGGGGAAGGCTGTTGAGTCGCAGCTTTGTTCCAGGCTTGGGGACCGCATTCTGGGAGCACACTCATTTAATTATGCAGGAGACAATCGACTGGGTACAAGTCTTACTTAGTGGGAAAACTTGTGCGACAGGGACAGGGAAAGAGTTTGTAATCATGAGTCAGCACTAGGGAGCCGTGGCCCAATGGATGTTCTGGCCCTTGGAAACACCAGAGAGAGCAGCTGGTGGGTGACACAGCCAGACCTGGGAGGCGAAGCCCAGGGCTAGCGGGCTGATGGCGAAAAGCATAGCCTGGGGACAGTCCGACGCCTTCCACCTTGATGGAAGCTGGATTGGTGAATGTAACTTTATCCGCCTTGTGTGGCACTCAGGAAGGCTGTCCCTGCCTGAAATCAGTGGAGACATTGGAATGTAATGCGGAGAAACTCCTACAAAGGGCTGTTGCTTGGAGAAGGAAGCAGGTGGTCCTCAGAGCCGGCGGGTGGGTGGGGGGAATTCATTCCCGTATTTCACAGCTGAGAAGTGTAGGTAAAAACAGGCCAAGCAGACTACCCTCCACTCCCTGGAGGCCCAGAGCTGTGAACCCCCTTCCTTTGCAGAGCAGATCTCTGGGAGAACCTCATCCCCCACACAGCTCACCAGGGGCCTCACCTGGGACCCTGGTTGCAGCTGGCTGGCCCCAGGAACTGAAATGCTGAACTGTCCCTTGCCCAGTGCGGCTGTGGCCATGGGCTGGAGCACCTGGCTTCCCTGTGGCTACTCAGGAGCCAAGGGAGAGCTATTTCCTCCCTTGGTGTGGAGGGGATGCAATAGGAGCCCAGAGGAAAGGCCAGGAATTGAAAGAACAGCTTGTTGGCAATACTGATTTCTTACCCAGTGTGCTTCGCACCTCCTGGTGGTTGGGGGTGGGTGGCAGGTCTGGCTTGCTGGAGTGCAAGCCGTCCTCTGTTCTCATGGGGCTAATTGTAGCCCATCTGGTGCAGTTTCTCTAATTCATAAACATTCTCCAGGAAGTGTGCTGATGAGCCCCATGCAGCCAGCCATCGAGGGAGAGAGCTGTGAGTGCCTCCTCTGCCGGCCCCTGTGGGCCGCTAAGGAAGCAAAAGTGGCCTCTGCCCCCAAGCTGTCCCCAGGGTGGCAAAGGCATTTATGTTTGAACCTCGTCTGACACCAACCACTGAACGTGGTTCTGACACTGCCTACCCAGGTTCGCACAGATCCCAGAGGCTAAGGCCTCAGTCCCACCAAACCGCCCCCACCTCAGTCACTAGCCACAAGTGGTGGTCCACAGGCTACCCACACTTTGGCCTGGTCAACCTCAAAGTCGGGGTTTCCTATGGACTCCCCTCAGGCTTGCTAAATCCTTAAAAAGACTCTCAGAACTCAGGAAAGCCCTGTGCTTGGGATTGCTGGTTTGTTCTCAGGGGTACAGACAAACACCCCGGTGAAGAGAGGCACAGGGTGGGGAGGTCGGGGTGTGTGCAGAGCAGCCATGCCTCCCCGGGCTTACCACCCCCCCCCCAACACTCATAGGCGTAGTCCCCAGCAGGAGTTCCTCTGGAAGGCGGCTGTCCTGGTTTTACCCTGGCCTCATTACGGTGGCGCTATCGGTTAGGCATTGGCCATTGGTGGTTGAAAGCCGACTCCCTCTCCCCTCCCCGGAGGTCAGGGGCGCAGGCCGAAAGGCTTGGGCTTGTGGCTGCTTCTCCTGGCCAGCATCTTCCATCCTGCGACTCCCTATCTAGTCCCCTTCCCCTCCTGACACCTCGTTAGCACGACAGAGACACTGCTGGCATTCTGGAAACTCCAAGGCTTTGGGGAAGTTCTGGGCTGGGAACCGGGGTAAAGACCACATGTATGTGTATTTGTGTTCTGTTCGAAGACAACACACTAACGTCTTAAGACAGCTATAACGTGGCCACATCAGTGTGGTTCGTTGTGAAGAAAATGCTTGTGCTTACGGAGCAGGCAGGGGCTGGATTTTCTGGGGGGGGGGGGGAGCTGGAAGTTTCCAGGAGGGGGCAGCAGCACTCAAGCAGACTCCTGGACGTTGAATTGAGGGTGTTCGTAGAGAAAGGGGCAGGCGGGAGGAGAGGCGTGATGTTCAGGGAGCAGAACGCGTGGCATCCGCACGGCTGGAAGCTGGAGGGGGGTTTCGCCGCTGCCTGATTCAGTTAGTACTGAGTGGTCCCTGCTGGGCGTCCCATCGGGGGCCAGATGCTAGATGTTCTCCCCGTGCGGAGGGAAGAGGGAAGAACGTGCTGTGTACGAGACCTTCTGTGGATGGGAGGGGGCTTGCGTCTGTTCTCAGGAGCAGGACTAGGCACAGATGAGCTGCTGATCCGTCACAGCCTTTTTACCACGTTAGAGACCTGACTTTCAGGATCGGGAAGCCCTTGTAGGCTCCTTGGCTGCTAGAAAATTCTTCTGTTCCCATGTGCATTTGGATTAGGTAGTGACCCCCCTGGATGCCCACGAACAGGTGGCTGTTGCTGTCCAGGCGGGAGATGACCGGGGCCAGGGCTCAGGGAACTGGCCACAGGGATGGAGAGAGGTAGGGGGGGTTCAGGAGCTTTTTAGGGGAAATGCGAGACAAAGGACTTGAAGGGGAGGCAATGTTCAGGCAAGCAGGTGACGGATGGGAGGGTGTGGCTTTGTGGAGGAGGAATCCTGTCAATGACACGAGGGCTCTGAGGCACTCAGGTGGCAGGGGACATTTCCTGACTGTCCCTTGAGCTGTTGTTGCTTTGATTAAACAACCGATTACTCAGGGACTGGTGAATCCTGATGATGAAACTCCTGTCTTTCCTTTTTTAAAAATTTCTTTAATTATTTATTTTTTAAAATTGTGTTATGTCAGTCACCATAAAATACATCATTAGTTTTGATGTAGCGTTGCAAGATTCATTGTTTGCTTATAACACCCAATGCATCCCCCCACTCCCTTCCTCTTTAAAACCCTGTTTGTTTCTTGGAGTCCACAGTCTCTCATGGTTCGACTCCCTCTCTGATTTCTCCCAACTCACTTTTCCTTTCCTTTTCCCATTGTCCTCCATGTTATTCCTTATGCTCCACAAGTAAGTGAAACCATATGATAATTGACTTTCCCTGCTTGACTTATTTCTTTTTTTTTTTTTTAAAGATTTTATTTATTTATTTGACAGAGAGAGAAATCACAAGTAGGCAGAGAGGCAGGCAGAGAGAGAGGAGGATGCAGGCTCAGGCTCCCCGCTGAGCAGAGAGCCCGATGCGGGCCTCGATCCCAGGACCCTGGGATCATGACCTGAGCTGAAGGCAGAGGCTTTAACACTGAGCCACCCAGGCGCCCTGCTTGACTTATTTCACTCAGCATAATCTCCTCTGGTCCTGTCCCATGTTGATACAAAAGTTGGGTATTCTTCTTTTCTGATAGAGGCATAATACTCCATAGTATATATGGACCACATCTTCCTTATCCATTCGTCTGTTGAAGGGCATCTTGGCTCCTTCCACAGTTTGGCTATCATGGACATTGCTGCTATGAACCTTGGGTACAGATGGCCCTTCTTTTCACTACATCTCTATCTTTGGGGTAAATATCCGGTAGTGCAATTTCAGGGTCATAGGGAATCTCTATTTTTAATTTCTTAAGGAATCCCCACACTGTTTTCTGAAGCTGCACCAACTTGCATTCCCATCAGTAGTGTAAGAGGGTTCCCCTTTCTCCACATCCTCTCCAACACTTGTTGTTTCCTGTATTGTCAATTTTGGCCATTCTGGTGGGTGTAAGGTAGTATCTCAATGTGGTTTCGATTTGAATTTCCCCGATGGCTAATGATGATCAACATTTTTTCATGTGTCTGCTAGCCATTTGCATGTCTTCATTCGGAAGACATGAACACACTCCTGCCTTTCATGAAAGGATGCTGGGATCTTATGCACCCAGGGAGGCTGACCATAGCAGAGGTGACCTGAGAGGATGGAGTCCAGTCTAGCGGGGCTGGAGCGGCTGGCTGTGTGGGGCACATTGGCTCGGGCTCCCCAAACATCGCCGCGGAAGCCCCGTGACGGGGCTTCTGTATCTTGACTCTACACAATTCGGCTATGGATTGTATCTTAAACCAGTGCATCCAACTAGGACATGGAATAATTTCTTCCACAGTTTTTTTTTTTTTTTAATAAATATATGTTGTATCGGTGAATTTAAGAAATACACATTGTGTTTTTAGGTTATGATATGTCCTGAATGGAAGTGTACTCACTGTGCCTATAATTACAGCCGTCTTTACAGATTATACTTATTTTAGAATACCACAATTTGGAATCCCTTTAATTATAATGCAAATTTAAGATAACTTTGCGGTAATTATAGAATAATTGAAATTTATATTTACCAGATTAGATGACACTTGGATCCTGTCACTTTGCTTTCCTGTGGAGGTATATGTTTAAAAGTCAACATTAATTAATTGCAGGTAGAAATGCGCCTTATACCCTGTGAAAGGAAGGCAAGATCCACGCTTCCCTAATTTCTTGTAATTATAGGCTGATACAAAGAGAAATTACTACTGCAATGGAAGTGCATGCCAGTGGGCTTGGTCAAGCGCTGTGGGTTTTAATCTATCTTCCCAACTCCCGTCCACCCTTGTCTGCCACATTTGAGAACGTGCTGATGCCCGGAGCCCTCCATGTTGAGTTAGAACATCATAGAAGAGATGGAGAGATTTAAACAGGCCTCAGACCAGCCCTGAACCATGGGGCCTCCCCCACACAGGGCCGGAGAGGGGCCCAGTGGCCTTGTAGGCTACAGCACAGCAGAGAATGTTGACAGTGTCCTGGAGCTTGACGACCAGAGACTTGGGCTGGGTTCACCTTCAGCATCTGTGGATTCGGCTGCACAAACCAGCAATTTAAGAGGGGAAGAGAAAGCCCCCAATTTTCATAGGGCTGATGACAACCCAGCCTTCCCTCCTAGAGCAGGTGCCTGTGGATAGTGGGTGTTCTTGGTGGGGAGAACCTGTCCCCTCCCTGGCCAGTCCCCCCAGTGAGAAGGGGTGCACGTACGCTCTCCCAGGTCTCCTGTCCATTGTAGACGCATGAAACCTGGGGTCCGGGGCCAGGTTCACACGTGAGGATGACACATCCTTGGGGAGGCATGATGGAGACCCTGGAGGAAGTGCTAGGATTATCCTGAGGGGTAGGCAGGGACTGATTGGAGGAATGGGTGGGCGGTCAGCTTGGATGTAGGCAGTCTCTCCCGCCTGGGGTTGTTGGATTAGATTCCCGCGTGGAATCCGTTCCTGCCTGTGGTTGTAGCCGTCGTGCATTTGTGTGGCCTTGCCTTGCGGGAGCTGCGTGGGCCGTGTTCACTGTGCTTTACCGACCAGCCCAGGCCTTTTCAGGGGTGACCTTTGACTATGTACGTACTATGTACAGTTTTCCCAGTGCTCGCACACCTGCAACTTCATCCCTTCCCAGGAAGTGACTTTCCCTTAATAAAATCCAGAGACCTTTTCTGTTGACGTGTTCTTGAAGCCTGACCGCCTCTTGCTCCAAATTAAGCTTCCTCATGTGCTTATGAGAGAAAACAGGGAACGTACTCCTCCCTTGAAGGCAATTTCCTCTGACCCTTTCCTTCTTCAAACCAAGTAACACGTTGCATTTATTGTTCTCTACATCATTTTAAAGAGGGGCAAACAGCGACTGCTCAGGTCCCGTGCCAGGAGGCGAGTGGGGTTCCTTCATGTGGCTGAGGCCGTGGGGCAGAGGAGGAGGAAGGGGGTCCGGCCACATGGGCTCTGTCCTGGCTCTCCAGCTTTCCCTGAATGATACTAGACAAGCCTCTCACCTTCTCAAGGCCTCCGCCTCTACTAAAATAGAAGCAGGTTGGAAAGCCCCGAAGGCCCCCTCCATCTCTGACATTTCATATTTCAAATGACCATTATTGAGCACCTGCTGTATACATACATGGCATTGTCACAGGTAAGGGCTGGGCAGGGAGAGTTCCAAGGCCCTGGCCTGAAGGGGTTTAGAAATTTTTCTCAGTTCAGGTGATAGGTGGCACCCCTATGTGGGGACATGAGCGTGGAAGCCTGTGAGCTGGGCTCTCGAGTGGTCACCCCCTTGTCCCCACCCACAAATCAGTCTCCAGTCACCTCTCCTTCTGACACAGTGCCTGTGTTTGTCTTCTAGCATAGGGAACTTTAACTCTGAAGCGTCAGATTGTAATTCTGACTCCCCCTTAGTCAGGGGCCACACAGTGTGTGTTACAACGATCCCACTCTGCAGTCACAGCAAGGGCAGGTGTAGACGATATGGGAACGAGTAGGCGTGGCTGTGTGCTAATAAAACTTTATTTATAGAGATAGTTTGCTGACGTCATAAAGTTCAAATTTAAAAGGTTAACACTGCCCCCTAAATAAATAAATAAATGCATAGTTAACACTCCATCCTAAACTCTACAACTGTTGCCTCATGGTAACTGGGTCTGTGGACGTGGCCAGAGATGACCTCACACGGGATGGACTCAGCACTGACTCTGCCTTTAGGTTCTCACCAGCAGAGACTTGACTATAGGCCTTTTGGTTCCTGGGCTTATTGTATAAGAGGAACATTCAGGACTCTCCACTGGGGAGTTACACTGATGGCCAAGGATTCCCAGCACCTTCCCACCCCCTGCCCCTGACATGGAAGAGCTGAGGCTCACCACCTTTGTCTTCAGGGACAGAAACTTCTGTCCAAACAGAGGCTCTTTGATTGCAGCTGACCCAACAAAGCCAGCCTGTGCCCATTTTGGGAAACAACCGCAGGCCCTCACCTTGTTCATCCCTTGGCCTCTCCAGAATGTTCTAAAAAGAAAGAAGACTGTCTGGCTGCCACATCGTGGGGTTTGGTTGGCAGAAGTCTCTGTGGAGTTGCACAAGGCAAGAAGGCCAGTCAGGAGGAGTCACATAGGAAATCTTTCTCATCGGGAGGATAAATATGGCCTCTGGGCATTGGAAACTACAATGGCCAGTACTCAAAAAACAGCAACCTTAAATCCTGAGGATCCCTAAATTATTGTTTTTTAAGTCCGGGAAAGAGGTGGTGTCCACTCCGACCAGGACTCAGGGGAGGAAGGGCATTTGTTCCAGGGCTTTGTTTTATTTCCAGGGCGAGGCGATATCCAGCCTCAGTTGGACAGTGCTCTCCAGGACGTCAACGACAAGTACCTCTTGCTGGAAGAGACAGAGAAGCAGGCGGTCCGGAAGGCTTTGATTGAGGAGCGTGGTCGGTTCTGCACCTTTATCTCCATGCTGCGGCCAGTGATCGTAAGTTCATGGAAAGCTCTAGAAGGCTTCAGCTGCCTTTGGAGGCAACTTTCCTTTATGGATCCACCTGTCCCTGAGTCACAGGGAATTTGCTGTGTGTCAGGAATCGTGACAGCGGAAGTCTTCCGTAGGCCAGTGATTCTCTGTGGGTCGCCATTGGCCATGGGGTCCACTCCGTGTTCACGGTTCTTAGCACTGGTTGAAACTTACTGTTTCTCCCCAAGTCAAGAAGGCCTGGCAGAGTGGTTCTTGAAGTGTGGTCCCCAGGCTGGCAGTGTCCCCTGGGAACCCCTTAGAAATGCAGCTTCTTGAGCCCAACCTGAACCCTCCTGAATCCAGACCTCTGGGGGTGGGGATCCAGTCATCTGGGCTTTAAACAAGGCCTCTGGGGAGTTTTAAGACTCCGTGGCCAAGTTCAACATCCGTGAGTGACCATGAGATCAATATGGGAAGAGTCTCAACGAATCAATGCAGACTTAATTTTTTAAGTAAATCATTTGCATAGATAATTGAGGACTTCTGCTGTCGTCATTCTTGAAGCTGATAAGAAGACACCAGCTCATTTCCCTCAGCCCTAGCAAAATGCCCAAATACGAGTCATACCTCTGAGCACTGACCTTTTCTGTGGCTGATTCTTGCCCAGGCCTACAGTCCCAGCTTGGCACTTTGGTGGAGCGAATGACTTCCTTCCTTAGTCTCCTGCTCCCGTCTCACTTGCCGTTTATTAAGTTGGTGTAAAACACCAGAGAGAAGGGGGATAGTTAACGCCACCGCACACATGTGGGCTGTCCCAAAGATCCGCCACCCGATCTGGACCAAAATCATTCCAGCTCGGGTCAACCATCGAAGCTGAGTGACTTCAGAGCAGGGCCTCAGCCCGTCGAGGGGGCTGTGCTGCAGGGTCCCATGGGAATATGCAGGCAGACCACCGGAGCAGGTGTCCTAGACCCCCACCCCCACCCCAGACACTACAAGGGAGGCCATGTGTTTGACTTGACTTCCTCACCACTGTCCAGCGGGCACAGGTCACTCCCTAATTATGGCCGATTCCTTCTTCCCTTTCTGTTTCCCGAGAGAGAGGGCTGGTAGTGCCTTCAGCACAAACATAGGAGTCTCGGGGCACCTTTTCTGGAAAGTTGAAAGGGTTCAACAGTGACCCTGAGAAAAATGATTGGACCAAGACAAGGAAGTGAATCGCTCATGATGACAACATGTTGTGAATTCTTTCCTTCAGGAAGAAGAAATCTCAATGCTAGGGGAGATCACTCACCTTCAGACCATATCAGAAGATCTGAAAAGCCTGACCATGGACCCTCATAAGCTGCCCTCCTCAAGCGAACAGGTAGGAGTCGTGCGCTGAGCACGCGTGGGAGCAAACCAAAGACACAAAGGCTCAGGGTGTTGAGGTCTTGAGGGTTCCTTGAGGCGTTAACCCATTTCAAATCCTGTCGGTGTTTCACATGGTGCTATATAGTCGTCATCACTGTGAGCCATTATAGAGCACCTGCTGTATGCCAGGTAGTGTTCTAAGCTCCATATGGAGACTTCCTCAGCTCATCTTCACTGTTAAGGCCATTTTATAGAGCAGGTGAGTGAGGCGCAGAGAGAGAAAGTCACTTGGCCAGGTTCATCTAGCTAATTAGTGGCAGAACTGGGATTTGAACTAAGCAGTCAAGAGCCCCGGTGGTCTTAACCATTGTGTTGATCCATCTTCTGGAAATAAGCCTACAAGAACATGACAGTGGTCTTGGTCATCCTTGTGAACCAGTCCCACTGAATTTCTCCCATTCTAATTAATTAATGCATGAGGCTCTGTCTTATGAAAAAGATGACATTTTTCCTTCTTATTCATTTAGTTCCTATGACAGTAACCTTGTATCAAGTGGGAATAGCTGATGAATCACGTGCTGGCTTTTGCCCTTCGTATAGAATTCTCATTGCCTGCCTGGAGAACCAACTCCAAAGACACACTCAAGAGTTTATATTTTCCGTTCAATGAAATTGCTTTTGTTAAAGCACAACAGGCATGCATTGACTCAATAAATAGACTTTTATCGAGCATCTACTGTAGGAGTGAGAGGCAGACATGGTGGACCTCACATTCAAGTAGCTCTTGTCAGGCAGGGAGTGGATGCAAGCAGTAACTGTGGAAGAATTGCCTTTTGCTCTTGATTCTGTTGGGTTTTAAAAAATCAAGTCCTGGTCAGCTAGGGCACGAGTGCTCACCGAATGTCAAGCAGCTAAAATGCAAGATCAACCAGTCCTGAACTGTGATCGAGCTTGTGGTGCTCAAGGACAGAAGTCCTGTAAATTCTAGCCGGAATATGAATGACTCTTGTAAATTGTCCATCTGTAACTGTAAATCAGTCTCTCTCTCTCTCTCGACTGACATTCATGGTCCCCTCCCCACCCTCCAATTTTGTTTTATATTTTTTGCTTGTGTCAGAAAAAGGACGAGGACATTGAGGCATTGGAAGTATGGTTCTTTAATTTAAAACAAGACCCGCACGACAGTTTTGACATTGCACCTCTGGATGATGGCAGAATTTTGACATTACGGGTAGGGATTTGATGGATAACATTTCCCTGCTCAGCGGCTTGCTTACCCATGTGGCTCTGTCCCCTTAGGTGATTCTGGACCTGAAAGGCTCTGATTACAGCTGGTCGTACCAGACGCCGCCCTCTTCCCCCAGCACAACCATGTCCCGCAAGTCCAGCGTCTGCAGGTAAGTCAAGCTGGGCTCTGCTCCTCCTGACACACGTGAGAAGCATCTGGAATAGTTCTGCTATCTGCAGCATTGTTTTCTAGCAGTTTCCTGTTGGACTGCTCTTGGCTTGCTGCCTGAAGTTGACTGTCCTTCCCTTGAAGGACGGAAGCTTCATTGTGCGTCACTATCCTTCTTGGGGTACTCGACCCATTGATCTATTTCTTTGACTTTCCAAAGCCAAATGAACTTGTTCTCGCAAATTAGTGTTGAGAGTAAAGAGGAGGTTGGATTGGCCAAATCTGTGTGCAGTTGTGTCTCTGTACATCCTTATGTGTGTGTGTCCTTCCGTATTTGAGTGAGTCTGGTAAACACTGAGCAGTGATTTCAGACGGAAATTGCCACGTCCTGACGTTCCGCAACCTGAAATTGTTGGTTGCTTTAGTGTCCTCTTTCGTGGGCTCTGTGTGTGTGTGTGTGTGTGTGTGTGTGTGTCTGACAGATCTACTGGGTTTTCATTTTGGTAACCAAAAAAACTGTCTCACTGGTATAAAACACAGCTGCACGAGTATCTTTTCTCTCTTATTATATTTGCTTCCGCTGAAAAGCCCCTTGCACTGATGGCACCAACCATGACCTTGGGGGTGTGCAGTCGCCATGAGCTTCACTGTCAGTCCCCAGATGCCCTCTTCTGACTGATTGGCAGGAGGTGGGGGCAGGGGGAAGCAAAAATTATGGTAATTATCCCCAGCAGCAGTGATGTCCCCTGGCACAGTCCCCTAGTTCTGCCAGAACACCCACACCGAGTAACTCCCGCGGAGGCAGTCACACAGCCCTTGACTCCCACATTAGCTGCCAGCGTTGGCGAACTCTGACGAGACTCTCTTGCCAGGAGCAGAAGCCACAGACTTTCTAATCCCGGGCTGGGTTGTTAGTTCTGTCCCTTCTAGTCCTTCTACAACTGCACCTCACTCTCTATTCCGGTTGCTGGGACCACGGAAAGCTCAGCTTTCCGGTTTTTGTAATCTGAGTAATTAGCACGCGGGGCATTATCTGTTAGAGCTGGAGATGGAAACGGAGGGAACACCCAGGGCCTGGGTGTCACTGATTGACACCCCGTTGATGGTTCATCTCGGAAGCAAAGAGTTTAGCATTGACTCCCTGAAGGTGTTGAAGGCTGCCTGCCTCTCGCCAGGTGTGCCGGTCACACCCGGCCCACAGATATGGTCACAGATTCCTGTGATCAGGGTAAAGCCATTCACTAAAGCACCAACTTTGTTCATAAGAGGTAAAGCACGCTGACACGTGCACAGAGTTGGTTTGCTGATGCTCTTATGATGGTCTTGAATCCAGTTCACATAAGATGGAATCACCTTGAGGAGGCTGTTGGCACCTGCCCTCCCAAGGTGATGGTTGTCTGGGTTGACCTTGGTTTCCTGGACCCAGACGGTCCATCCAAGGGAGACACTTGAATTTTCTAACTGGGCGGCGTAGCAGCCCCTGGTTGTGGCTGCAGGTCACGGGGTTCTGCGAGCAGCTGAGCAGAGAGGATCAGCCCTGTCTCGTTTCTCACCACCGATGTTAGGTTTCTAGCTTTGGTGGTAGATGACGTGGCAGAATTGGGCAGCCCTGGACTCTTTAGAATCATGGGCGTCCATGTAAGGACACCTCGTGACACCTTCGGAGAAGTGAGTCCCGGCAGACGCCTGGTTTATAATAACTAGTTTTCTCTCCCTTGCTCATGTGAAAAACCCTTTCTTTGCTAGCTTCGGGGTGTGGTGTTCTGAAAACACGTCTTACTGTTAGCCCTGCTTCCCTGTGGCAGAGATCTGATTACATGATGTCCCCACCCCGTCCCCATCCCCGTGTTTCCTCCCCTACCTCCCCCGCCTGCCTCCCCTCTGCTTGCCCCCACAGCAGCCTGAACAGCGTCAATAGCAGTGACTCGCGCTCCAGCGGCTCCCACTCCCACTCCCCCAGCTCCCACTACCGCTACCGCAGCTCCAACCTGGCCCAGCAGGCACCCGTCCGCCTGTCCAGCGTGTCCTCCCACGACTCAGGATTCATTTCCCAGGACGCTTTCCAGTCCAAGTCACCATCCCCCATGCCGCCAGAGGCCCCCAACCAGGTAAGGGTGCCCTTGGCTCCAGAAGTAGCTGTGACGTCTAGTGCTCGGGCCACTGTCAGTGGCCAGGACCAGAGAAGGACGTTGGCTCAGATGGACCCCTGTCCTCTTCCCACCAGAAACCTCTGGTTTAATTTCTCATCTTCAGATGTGTTGTTTCCCAAAGGGTGAGAACTCTAAGTTGGGTGTGCAGCCTGTCTCCATGGTGGTGATGGCCACGGCACCCCGCTGGTTTGGGGAGTTCTCTCACGTAAGTAGATGGACTCTAAGAAGTCGGGCCGCCCTCTGGCACCCCCATAAGCATCCGGCTGGGCACAGTGCCTCATGCATGACGTTGGTGCAAATGGTGGCATCTCTCCCGCCATTGCCGCTTTGCCCTAAGCAGTGGTGAGTCTGAGCAGTGCCTTGGAAGCCTTCTGTGGCCCTCCCCGGTTCCCTGTCGCGGCTGGTATGAGAATGGGGGTGACTCCTTAGAGCCTTCGATCACGAGTTCTGTTGGCATTCTGCTCCCCAGGGAAGGGAAGATGTTGGATCTTTCAACCACAGCCAGGTCGGGTGGTGCTGGACTCACCACAGCCCCACCTGGTGGGCCCAGCAGGAGTGCCCGGCGGGCCCAGGGGGAGCAGGAGGCAGGAGCTGGACGGGGCGTTGGATCGCCCTCCCCCTGCTGCCCTCTCAGTCCTCCTTCCCGACTATCAGGGGTCTGGCTTCCCACTTAGTGAGTGACGCCTGGACGCCTGGGACACGCCCCCGCCCGGGTTGCCCCACAGCGCCATCTGCTGGGAGCCGAGGGGGCTCAGAGCCCGTGGTGCACTCAGAGGGGGGCCACAGCCCGTGGGCCGAGATCTTGTGGACTCGGGAGGTCACGTGCTTGTCTTGTTCATCCAGGTACCCAGTTGGCTTAACAGTCCCTGGATATCTGGGTTCCCCGCACCACCCTAGGACCCCCCCCACACACACCCTGCTGTCCGGGTCATCTTCCAACAGCCATGGGGAGTATGGCTCGGCCTGTTTGCTGTGGAAATGGAGGCTCGGAGATGTGACTTCCCACCTGCACTATTACACGACCTGCAGGTCGGGAGCCCAGAACAAGGGTTTCTGGTGACCAATCCAGAGCCCTTCCTGCTCCTTCTCAGCCATAAGCGTCCTTGGAAGTGTTTTGGGGGAACACATCATGGAGAGGAAACAGCTGCGGTGTTTGGGGAATTTAAGCCAGAGGCTTACTTGCCTGATGTGTCTGACGTGGCTGAACCCAGAGGTCCTCAGCTCAGGGGTCCCTCTGGCATTTTCCAGCTGTCCCAGGAGACTGTGGCCTCGCTCTGTCTTCCTGGGAGAGAGACTCGACTTCAAACAGAAACATTCTGGGCCGAGAGCCTTGGCTTTAAGTTCTAACATGCTTGTCCTCGTGGGGGTGCTCTGGCTTGGTCTGTCAGGTGTCCCCTTCCTGTCCCCCGCCACGTGCGCACTAAACCACACCTGCGGGTCTTGAAAGCGGTGTGAATGGTTGAAAGAAAACCGGAATGTGCGGTTCTTCCCAGGCTATTCCACTGCGCAGCCTAATTCTGTGTGTTTTTAGTCAGCTGACAGATTAACATGGTGTTGTGCACTAACAACACGGTATCGTGCACTAACGCTCCTTTCTCGAAAGAGAGAGGCCTTGTGCTCCGGCCTTGCTGTCAAAGGTGGTGTGTGTGGATCAGGCTGCAGCGAGTGCTTCTGCCTCCAGCAATGCTGAGGGAAGCAGAAGGCGGCGTGTTGGGATTTGCTCGAATCCGAACGCTGGTGCCCAAGATCTGCTTGGCTAGCAACTCTGGGGTGGTCTCCATAAGCTCAGGGATGCTGCAGAATTCAACGGAGAATTCCGTGTCTCCAGAAAGGCATTACGGCTGCTCACAGTTGTCAGAGGGAGGACGTGTAAGGGAATCGTACAAGTCACACAGGCCAGAGCATACAGTCTCCTGAAGGCCGTATCGCACCGTTATGTAGACTGTGAGGAAGGGAATACACGCCGTAAGGGGGGAGACCCCTCTGTCACTCCCCGCAGTCACGTGGTTCTGAGTGAGTGCCGGCTGATGGAGGACGTTAAGAATTCTCCTGTTTTCCTCCACGGTGCTCTTTTCAAGTCGTATCCGAGTGCCGCAGGCCCCGGAGTGGGGCCCTGTCTGTGGTGAGGGTCTCGTCCTAGAGCTGTTCATCCCAGCAAGGCGAGAGGATCTTTAGGAAAAATGAACAGAAGTCAAAGGAAATAGGAACCAGCAGTCCTGCCCTGGTTTACCGGCTCTTTCCTTCGAGTTGAACAGCCTTGACTTGGAGGGACCAAAATGAGCAGCCCGGCGGACGGCAGCGCTAGCTGGCTTCCCCGTGCACAGACGCGCACGGACATGGACGTGTTCTTCTTGTCGTCATCTGTTAGATAGAGTCTCATTTCGTGTTCTTCCGCTGGATTATTACTGGTCCCTAAAGATGCAAGAAATTGAGATTTAGATTAAGCCCAGGTTCCTTCACTGAGGAGTGACAGAAACGTAACTTGACTCCAAACCCCGCGAACCTTGGATCCGGGCCCGCTTGCCAGACCCTGAGCTTGAGGCCCCCAGGGCACGCTTGGGAGAACCTGTCCTTGCTCTGGTGCCATGGGGCCCCTTGCAGTGGACTGTCTTTTTGGAGCTTTGCTGCTTTCAGGATGGAGAGCCACAGCTCCGTCCTTGGCAGGAACTTTTCTTTTTCTGGTGGTGAAAGGAGCGGGCAGAAACAGGAGTCTGGCCTCCTTGGCCGGGAAGGCGGGAACACTGTGGGGAGGTAATAGTAGACCCCAGTAGGGTTGGGCTTCTTTGAACAAAAGGACGAGCCAGAGAATCCAGTTAGCCAGGAACAAAATTTAGAGCGAATACCCAGGTGTCCCCAAGCTCTATCCCAGGGGACCCAGCTTCTGCAGAAGAGATGGTCATTGTCATGCACACATTCAGTAATTCCGAGCGCCTGCCATGTGCCAGGACAGGACTACAAAGCTGAGATGGATCAGGGAGCTCCTGGTCTCTGCCTGAGCTGAAAGTCGGGAGCCTGACCAGGGAGCGGGCCCTGCAGTCTGGAGGTTTAATGAAGATCGGCATGAAGGGATGTTGTCCCAAGTCAGACCTTTCTGGAGTGGCCCAGATCTCTCCAGATGCTTCCCCCCTCCCTGGGTGGCCACTTGAAACACTGAGCTCAGGGCTTCGCAATCCCAAAGCTCAGAATCCTTTCCCAGGCAGAGAAATCTAAAAACCCGTCCCGTGAAGATATTGCTTCATAGCTGGAAACCACCCTTCGTGGGTACAGCGGCTGCGTGTGACCGAGGGCGAGGCTGGGACCTGGAGACTTGGGAGCGGAAGCCCAAGCTGAGAATGTGTGTGTGTGTGTGTGTGTGTTGGGCTGGGGGTCAGTGCGAGGCAGTAAAGATGCCCGTGCTCCTGGCAGATGCCAGGGGCAGGCCTCCCCTGGGACCTGGGCTTGTGGCATGAGGAGGGAAGCCCGAGGGAGCAGCAGGAATTCCACCCCTGACCTGTGCCTGGTGCAGACTAGACACACACCAGTCGGGGTCCCGGGACGCTGACAGCCTGGCAGGTCTGGGCCGTGCCGCATCTCAGGCTTCTGTGTGGGTGCAACTTTGGGGGAAGAAATAACCCTAACCCTCTGCTTCTCTCATCCTTCCCTTTTCTGTGTATATGTCTGTCTCTCTCTCTCTCTGTGCGTGCCCTCCCTCTACCCCATCTCCTGTCTCGATTTCCTGTTACTTTTGGTGGCACGTGGTCCCTCCCTGCGGCAGAACTCGTCCAGCTCGGCCTCCTCCGAAGCCTCCGAAACCTGCCAGTCCGTGAGCGAGTGCAGCTCGCCCACCTCCGTCAGCTCAGGCTCCACCATGGGCGCCTGGGCGTCCACAGAGAAGGTGACTGGCTGGGCCCTGGCCACTGCGGCCACCCCTCTCCAGCACCCCTTCCCCCACCCCATCCCTTGCCTGCCGCTGGCTGTTACCGCTGGGACCTGAAACTTGAAATCAACCAAAGGCACACCCGGAGCAGCTCCACTTGGGGACAGAGAGGGGGACAAGGTTGAGGGCTTTTTCTGGAATGGGCTCCTGGCTCCTGAGCCATGACCTTGCCATCGTCCTGAGGGAGAGGAAGCAGTACAGGGAACTCGGAGGTGGAAGGCTCCTTCCCAGAATGGTGCCGTGTGCTCATCCGTCTCCCCACTTACCCTCCCGAGACCTCCACCCACCCACCCACCCACCCACCCACCGTGGCCCCCTTGTCGCCATAGCCACATCGCCTGATGGGACCTCTCACCGCATCGGAGGCTGCGTGCTCTTCTGCCTTTCCGTTTGCCAACCCCTCCTCCCTCTTCACCCTGATTTGGAATCTGCTCCTGAACAGTGTGATGATTTCAGAAACTAGAATGAACAGATTTAGTTGACGCTTGAGAATTTTTTAAATTTGCATAATGAGATGAGCAAATCAGGATCGCCGTGAAATTCTGCCTCGTTGGCTAAATGATCAAAAACCATTGCAGACGCCACAAATGAAAGACACTGATCAGTTTCCACACTATTCCAAAATGTAGATAAATTACATCCTTGACCGAGCACTTATCTGGTGTCCCACGTGCACTCTTTGCCCCGTGGCCCCTTTCTACCCCACAGACCATCCACAAGCAGCAGAATCCTGCCGCTTGTTGGACGGATAAAGACTCCGGTCCCCTTCCTCCCTTGAATGTCAATGCCATCTTGTACCTCCACACTCATCCTGTTATATTAATTTTATTTTCCTTTTTTTCCCCCCTTTTTTGTTTTGTTTCCAGTTGTCTAACGGGTTTTCTCACTGTAGTTTGCCAAGTGAGTCCCATGTGGGGCCCGTGGGGGCAAGCCTTTCCCCTCATTGCCCGCCTGCCTCCCGCCTGCTCCCTCGGGTCACCTCTGTCCACCTTCCAGACTTCGCTCATTATCACACCATTGGGCCCGGCATGTTCCCGTCATCTCAGATCCCTAGCTGGAAGGTTTGTGTCTCTCCTCCCTCCCCTTTTCTCCCTCCACCCCCTCTCATGGCTCTGTGCTCCCCCATCTTCTGTCCCACGACCTTCTTCCTGATCCCCCCCACCCCTCCCTTCCACACTCTGCCTTCCTCCCCGTAGAGCCCCTCTCCCTGAGAAAGTTCCCACTGGGAAGAACCAGAAAGCCGCAGGCAGATCTGAGAGAGAAACGTCCACGTGGAGCGGAGATGGGAGAGGCTCCCCATAATGAACCTTGCTTAAGCTGATTTAGATGGTGGACATCTAAGCTGGGGGCCGCTGTGGGGTGTCACCATTACCAGGGACTGGGAGCTACTGCCTTCCCCGGTCAGTGCCCCAGACTCTTCCCTCGGGTCCCTTATCGGGCCGTGGTAACAGCCATGATCCAAACTGTGGGTTGGCTTATACCATGTTTTATCTCAAAAGTAAATGCAGACTTATTTTTTGGTCTCATTTGTGTACTCTCCAAATGTGTTTGCCTTAATACAAAAACAGAGTTCTAAGATGATTTCCTAGCATGTCCAATCCTATTTTGAGAGGCGGTGTCCCTGATTTGAATAGTAGGTGACCCTAGGCTGTGGCATTTTGAGGTCTCGACTTAATCCCTTAGTTGGATTAAGTGTGGACCCCACAGGCTCCTCAAAACTTTCTGCTGACCCCAGAAGCCTTCCCTCCCTATGGTTAGGCCTGGGAGGGCACCTCCCGAGTGCCCCTGGGGGCCCAGTCTCCTGCAAGTGGAGGTTCAGCCTCGGGGGGAGTGGCTGAATCCTGTTAGTGGCCCTTGGTGGCCACTTGGCTCAAGTGAAGACATTTGGGCTGGAGGAGGGGGCTTCCTTCAGACCCCGGGAGGGAGGGCCTGGCCCCGGGGCATGTGCTCTCCACCGCCTGAGGCCTTCAGATACCTTAGCTGGTCACCTGCCAGCTAACTAAGAGTCTCCCACGGGTGCCTGCCTGGCTGGGGAGGGTTTTCATCTTTGGGCAGATAGGAGGAAAGGGGAAGTTCCCAGGGGGCCCCCAGAGGATTTTCCACTCACTTCTTTTAGAGCTGGGTGAGGACGTAGTAGAAGGGCCTGCTGGCCTGTCCCAGCCTGAGCCTGCCCCGGGGGGCCAGCCGCCTTCTGTGGGCCGCTGTCTGGAGGGTTGTACAGGCCTCCACATGGAGCCGGAGGCCGCGGCGCCTGACCACGTTCCTTCTGCTTAGGACTGGGCCAAGCCCGGACCTTACGATCAGCCTCTGGTGAACACCCTACAGCGCCGCAAAGAGAAGCGGGAGCCGGACCCCAACGGAGGAGGACCCAGCGCCGTGGGTGGCGCGCCTGCAGCGGCCGAGGAGGCGCAGAGACCACGGAGCATGACCGTGTCAGCTGCCAACAGGGTGACGTTTTTATTCTCTACTGCTGGTTGGACTCCTCTAGACCCGGCCGGCGGCCGTTTGCTGGCCAGCAGTGCGGGGGGGAGCCTGAGCCCCGTTGCCCCACTCCGCGCTCTCGAGTGGTTAGAAGGCCCCTAGGGAAAAGCCTGGCACTGAAATCAGACTCTTAGAACTTTCCAGAGCCTGGGTAGGACCCACAGACGGCAGCAGGATAGGAGTAATGTTGAGGCTCCCACGTGAAGACGGATGCGGAAAGGCTCTGGGGACACCAGACCGGGGATTCACGGCCCTGGTGGCTTGTCTGTGTCTCTCTCCTCCCCCCGCAGCCTGGTGAGGAGATGGAGGCATGCGAGGAGCTGGCGCTGGCCCTGTCGCGGGGCCTCCAGCTGGACACCCAGAGGAGCAGCCGGGACTCGCTGCAGTGCTCCAGTGGCTACAGCACGCAGACCACCACACCGTGCTGCTCCGAGGACACCATCCCCTCCCAAGGTACGAGGCAGCCCGGGCTTCCCATGGGGTGCTTCCCGGGCTGTGCCAGGTGAAGAGGAGGGAGGCTGCAGGAGGCGGGGGGTGGGGGTAGGGGGGACCCACCTAAGCTCAGCGGCCTCCTCCTGGAGCGCTTGGGCGAGCTGAGCCTCGGAGAGGGCTGTTAGAGCCCGGAGCCCCCAGTTCGGACCCTTTCCCAGCCCAGTCCCCCGGGACCCCCGCCTCCCGCAGCACCACACGCTCCAGCAGGGTGGCAGCCCGGGGCCCAAGGAGATGGCCGGGGTTGACCAAACCGATCCACAGCTCGTGTGTCAAAGCTTCTAAGACTAAGCCAGTCCCATGGAAGACCGTTTTGCTGTCCAGGGGACACGGGGCAGTGTGCGGAGCCCTCTGTGGCTGTCACCTGATCGATGGTCGGAGGTGCAGCTGGATGTCCTGTAATGCACAGCGTGGCCCCCCGTCCCCTCCCCCACCCCCAATGCCATGGGTGCTGCTGCTGGGACACCTGCTCCAAGCCTCGGCAGCGCTCAGCTCCCTCCTCCCTCGTGACCCCACGTCCCGAGGTGCGCACACCTCGCGGGTGGAGCGTGGCTTTGTGCGGGTTCCCGGGGGCTCAGTGCCCGTGGCGCCGTTCTTTTTCCAGCCTTTGCCCGTCGAGTTACTTACATGGTCTGCCTGAGGCGTGTTTCTCACGTCCGGTACCGGACCGGAGGCCGCGTGGGGGGCTCCTCTTCTCTTCCTGCGCCCCCCTTTACTCCTCCCCGGGACGCTGGGTGGTAGCGAACCCGGGATTTGAGGGCACCCCTGCGGTGTCCAGTGTCCACTGCTGTCCTGGGGCCCAGGGTGACAGCGGGGACCTCCAGGAAGATCCATAGGGGGACTTCTCACTGAGATCGGGGAGGCTGGGGATGAGGTGGTGGGTAAAGCGCCTTCCCTCTCTTCCCTCTTGTGCCTTTTGTTCCTCCAATACCAAAGAACCGAAGAGCAAAGCTGCGGCCTTGGGGAGCCCTAACCCAATGTTATCATCAGTTTCAGATTATGATTATTTCTCTGTAAGTGGCGACCAGGAGGCAGATCAGCAGGACTTTGACAAATCCTCCACCATCCCGAGAAACAGTGACATCAGCCAGTCCTACCGACGAATGTTCCAGGCCAAGCGCCCGGCCTCAACGGCTGGTCTCCCCACCACCCTCGGACCTGCTGTGGTCACCCCAGGGGTTGCAACCATCCGACGGACCCCTTCCACTAAGCCTTCTGTCCGCCGGGGGACCATCGGAGCCGGTCCCATCCCCATCAAGACACCCGTGATCCCGGTCAAGACCCCAACTGTCCCAGACCTCCCCGGGGTGTTGCCCGCACCTTCGGATGGGCCAGAGGAAAGGGGTGAGCACAGCCCCGAGTTGCCCTCTGTGGGTGAGGGCCCCCAGGGTGTCACCAGCATGCCCTCCTCCATGTGGAGCGGCCAAGCCTCCGTCAACCCTCCTCTCCCAGGCCCGAAGCCAAGTATCCCCGAGGAGCACAGACAGGCGATTCCAGAGAGCGAGGCCGAAGACCAGGAGAGGGATCCCTCAAGTGCCACTGCTTCCCCAGGCCGGATCCCGGAGAGTGACGCCGCAGACCTGAGCCCCAGAGATACTCCGCAAGGGGAAGACATGCTGAACGCCATCCGAAGGGGCGTGAAGCTGAAGAAGACCACGACGAACGACCGCTCCGCCCCCCGCTTCTCGTAGGCTCTCGCGGGCTCCCCAGAAATGCTGCCAGTGGGGAAGGAACTGTTCAATCCATAAAACCTAATTTGTCTCGATCCATTCCAATCTATAATCAGACAAAAGATTTTGTAGGCAACTCAGAACACAGCTCTTTTGAAAGTACGTGACACCTTTAGTTAAGAATTAAAAGTAACATACATAACTGACATACCTTTGATCTTTTAATTTGTAAATATTGACCATTTTCTTTCTGCACATTTTAATCTTAGTTTCCCTTTTGATTTTTCTGAAGGTGCCAAATTCCATTTAACTTTTTTACAAGTCTTTGTAAAATTTTAAATGCATAATGGGTGGGGGGGGGTGGTTGGGGCAGGGGAAACACAAAAAAACAAAGTAGTTAATTTCAGAAAAAAGGATAACTCTACTTTAGCCTTTTCTTTTCTCTCCTTTTTTCCTGCAAGCTTTTGTAGATGCATTGTAGTAGTCTGGCTTAGAAGCAAATTCAAGTTATTTTAATGTACAAACAAAATGGATCAAGGGGTAAAAATCTTCCTTTACATGTAGTACGTTCTGGCTGAGAAAAGCAGGAGTAACAATTGAGCAATATTCAGAGTGAAGTAAATCTGGAAATGGTAGACTCTGTTGGGATTGGGGGGAGGGCCGTGGGAGGGGCACACCGTCAACATAGCCGATCCTGGTAACATGTAAGAGTAGCCTCGTAGGTTGAATTTCTAGTAGCTTCATGGTAAATGCATCCGAGTAAGCCATACTGGATTGCAGTGTTTGTTTCTGTAGGGTGTTTAAGGACTTCCTTTCTCCCACGATTCCTCCTGACTGTGCACAGCACCCACCTCCAGTCCCGAGCATGCTGCCGCCCCCGGGTAGACCCAGAGCCCCCCAATTCAGTTACTCGTCTCTCGTGCCCATGTTCATTGAATCCAAACACATCCAAAAAGGGTAAGGCGGTTTTAAAAATGTGAAAACATTTTAAAATGATAGCAGGGAATTCTTAGAGATAGCCAATGCCTTTTACTTAACCGTGCCCAGCAGGCTGGGTGCGTTGAAAAGCCCAAATATTTTGAACAAACTCGAACGGATCTAACAAGGGTAACCCGCTTGGAATCTAGCAACTTGCCAGTGTGTTTACTGATCTGGGGGCTTGTTTTTCTTCTCTTCTTTTAAATAAGTGGCAGTTAATTGGCATCATACCAAACACTGAAGAACGGAGGATTTATTTATTGTCACTGGGAATCTGACCACTATAACTGTCCCTTTTTTTCTTTTTTTGTATTCTAGGTAATGTTTTTTGGAATGGATTTATGTCTTTTCTTTTTTAAGTGAAAGTTAAATTTGTTCTAATGCCCGTTCCCTAAAGCCGACAGAGGTTCGTAGATTTAAAGGGATCTTGTTTGGAGAAGGCAACAGAGGTTTGGAAAAAACCAAGCAAGTCCCTTAGCACTTGGGTCCGTTTCTCTTGAAGGAAGCGGAGCTTGGGGGGGTCCCACAGACCCTGCAGGTTTCTGTTGGCTCGACTCTTCAATTACATAATCTTATGCTTTAATACATAACTGCATTGGATGTGAGAGTAATGTATCTGTATAGTCACTGTTCAATATATTAACATTTAAACACTGCTGTGATTGCTCAAGGGCATTTTATGTTATGGCTTTAAAACAAAGGCATGATTATTAGGAAACTATTTAAGCTTTTTTTTCCTTTGAAAAACAAGCTCCTTCTACAGAATATAAGCAACAGTAGTGCCTGTGGTTTAGCCCACCAATCTTGATGACTAAAAGTAGCTGATGCATTGTGCATATGATGCTTGAGATGGTTTTTGCAAAAGCAGAAATCACTGCAAGGTAATTAATTACAATAGATAAAAGTGGTATTTTAAACCTTTGAAATAAATGGATGTAACTGTACCTTGGTACAGCTTTCACTTGTTTAGTTTTTAAACGTTAGTATCATCTGAATAAATTTAATAGAAAACGTTGCCAAATTCAATGTAGAAAGAATGTGACAACACACCTTGGGTAGTTCTGTTTGTGTTTTTGCATATTGTAAAAGCAGTGTCACAGCTAAAAATAAAGACATCGTTTCTAAAGGTAAATTATTGTGGTTTAGTTGCTAGTTTGTACTGAGAGTTGACCTCTCCCTGTGCAGTTTTTTTGTTCTAAACTTGTATAAATAACAATCGTGTATGTGTCTCCCTTCTACCTTGTAACAACTGCTTCAGCCTACATTATAAATAAAGAACCACTAGAAAAAGTCCTGGATGTCAAGACTTATTAAAATTCAGTTGCAAGTCTTTGTCAGCTGTTAGGAGGTGCACTGAGATGTCAACTGGGCTTTCTTGGGAAACCGATAGAACGTCATTTCTGGGATGGCCCCGAGCCCTAAGAACATTAGCAGCCTCCACACCTGAACTGTTTGGACGTAATTCTAATGAGAATCACCATCTAAAAGCCGATGGGTTTGGCTGATGGTTTTAGAAATGGCTCTACCTTTCAAAGAAACTTTCCCAACACTTAAGGGTTCTGCTGTCCCCTTACCTGGGAGTGTGCAGACCATCCAAGCTGCGGGAGAGCAGGCAGAGCTGGGAACCTGTTCTGGAGAAGTTTTACCCCAGCTCCCAAACCTCTGCCCCTGAGCGAAGCCCATAAACTCCATGCTGATTTGCTGAATGTGTGCGGCTTACAGTTATCCTTTTAGTCACACTAAAATGTCATTCCTGGCATCTTTACAAAACCAAAAAGGTAATCTCGAGTCCTCGGTGTTTGCATACCTCCTCCCGACTTCATATTCCTCCCTCACTAGCCTTCAACTAGGGTTTGTTCCACTAAACATATCCTGAGTAAATCTCGTATCTGGTTCTGCCGTTCTCCCTGATAACTTGTGCTGGCAACAGGACTTCCTGGGGCAGACGACACTTGGCCACACTTCCCATACTTCTGTGCGCAAGTGGGAAGAGATGATGGGCACAGCTGCTTGGTGTCATGCTGACCCTCGGAAGAACACAGCAGTCATACCGTGTTGAGTTATTACTTTTATTAGGGCAAGTGTGTCTATGTTCTGTAACTTATTTCACTTGCATGTACGACTGGCTGGTGAGCCGTCTCCCTCTCCCTCTACATGGGTCGTTCCCGGGGCCTGGTTACAATGTGCCACCACAGTGGGGGCAGATCACCTTCCTTCCGGGCCGGGGGCAAAGCTTCAGTGCTGGGACCACCAATGGGGGTTTCCTCCTGCAGCTGCTTAACCTGGAAAGGGGGAAGGGAGGAACAGTTAAGAGGCAAACTGGTAATGCTGCGGTGTTTTTTATATATACCTGCATTATGTTTATATGCACAATTTAGCACAGAAAAGCAATTCTCCTTAAAGGTTTTCCCATTCTTAAAACAGCAAAGCTGAGCAACCCTCCCACCCCATCTATTACTCATGATGCAAACGTGTGACCATTATCAGCCCCATTCCCTTTGGTGTGGTCCCCTACCTGTACCCCCTAAAAAAATACTTATTTTTCTGTCTCAGCTAAGTGCTCTCCGAAAGCACCATTAGGAAACCTTAATTCGTGTATATTAAAGATGTTCATTTTAAAGCCCCCCCGCCCCCGCCCAAATAGCAACCAGGACCAAAAATACCAAGAAATGACATGTGAAAATGTGCTCCGTTCTGCCTCATCCAGCCCACTCCCCTCAACCCCAGTTCCCGTGATCTCCAAGACCATCACTGTCCGAGAGAGGAGGGACATGTAAGAGACCCACTCCCCAGATCAAGGGTTTTCTAAAGCTTCCTCCAGAAAACTCAATTCTGGATTGTGGGTGACCTGAGAGTCTCCAGCATATGTGCTGTTTAATGTCAATAAGACGAACTAGGTAAAGGTTTTTGTGAAGAGGTTGTAAGAGACCAACTGTAGAACGAACCTGCTACTCTCCATGAATGAACACGCCTCCCATTTCCAAATGAGGAGACATTTCTTAGCAAGCACTGCCCCCCTTGGTCACAATGACTCTCCTTTCACTCCACCTTGGCCAAGGACTTCCTGCAGTCAACATCCTGGGCCTTACCACCAGAACGCACGTAACTTTCAAACTCATGAATCAGGGGTGCCTGGGTGGCTCAGTAGGTGAGCTTCTGACTCTTGGTTTTGGCTCAGGTCATGAGCTCAGGGTCCTGGAATCAAGCCCCACACTGCGTTCTGTGCTGAGCAGGGAGTCTTCTCGAGGATTCACTCCCTCTGCCCCTCCTCCACTCGAGCATGCACTCTCTAAATCTTTAAAAAAAAATCGCCAATAAAATATCCCACTATTTAACCACAGAAGCTCTCTCTTGCTCATGTGCTTAAATGTCCCCTTGAAAATGCTTTCTGAAACCCAGAAATGGCCAGTTCACAAATCCTCTGACCCAATTTGACCTTCCCTGCATCAGCCTCCTGTCTCTGTGCCTGCTTTACCTGCTTCCATCCCATCATGACCATCACTCCTTTCTGAATAACCTCTAAGGTGTCCTGACACTCTCCACCAGACACACCACACCATCTACCTTCCAGACCGCACCCAGACAGCTGGGGTCGCTAGAAAGTAAAAAATGCTGGTCACAACAGATTAATTACTCCCAACTTCAAGTGGGCCTTCACCACCACCTGGCAATCCTATTACTCCCAATGAGCTCACCCTCTGCTGTGACTCCCGCATCTTTTCCACATTCTCTGAACAGGCCACGCCCACTTGATGCCTTCTCCTCTTTGCTAAAATAGAGAAGCCATCACACAGAACTCTCATTTTCCCATCACCAAAACTTCTAGCCCAGATGTAGGTACGTGCATCTTCTGCATGATTCTAGTGGAAGAAGAACCCATTCTCCTTTCAAAGGCCTCCACACATGCTTGGGATCCCGTCGCTCTTCTCAAAAGTTTTCCTCCTTGACCTCTTCCACCTTGCTTCAACACCGTCCATCTCTCCCCTGCCCTGAATCTCCTCGCAGCACACACGCATTTCTTATCTTAAAAGAAAATAATCCCTTGGCCTCCAGTTACACAAGAGAAACTTCTCAAGAATTTCTCCCCCTCCCCATACCACTGTTTTCTCGCTCTTACCTTCTGCTCACTCCTACTGGTGCAATTAAACCCTTAGGAAAAGGTTCTCACCAAGGTCACGAATGCCCTTCCTACTGCCGCAATCCCGGGAGGTTATTTCCAGTCCTCACTCTATTTCATCTTTTAGAAACTTTCTGCCAATGGGCGCCTGGGTGGCTCAGTGGGTTAAGACTCTGCCTTCGGCTCAGGTCATGATCTCAGGGTCCTGGGATCAAGCCCTGAATTGGGCTCTCTGCTGAGTGGGGAGCCTGCCTCCCCCCCTCTCTCTGCCTGCCTCTCTGCCTACTGGTGATCTCTCTGTGTCAAATAAATAAAATTTAAAAAAAAAAAAAAAAGTAAAGAAATTTTCCACCAAGATGACCAATGCTGACCGGCCGTTCCTGACACACTTTCTTGGACTTGCTGTCACCCCTCTCCCCTGCTGGGTGCTTTGCTGCCTCCTTTCCTCGCCTCCTCGAGTGGGAGCACCTGTAACCTTTCTGCTCCCTCTCTTCTCTTAAGATCTCCTACATTTCTGTGGCTTTTAAAACAATGGATAACTCAGTTGGTTATGGGTGGCTCAGTTGGTTAAGCGACTGCCTTCGGCTCGGGTCATGATCCTGGAGTCCCAGGATCAAGTCCTACATCGGGCTCTCTGCTTATCAGGGAGCTGGCTTCTCCCTCTGCCCCTCGCCCCTTTCATGCTCTCTCTCTCTCTCTCTCTCTCTCTCAAATAAATAAAATCTTAAAAAAAAATAAAAAATAAAATAAAATAAAACAATGGATAACTCACAAATTTGTTTTGAGCTCAAATCTCTCCTTTGAGTTCCAGGTCTCTACACCCAAAGTCACCTACTGCCATCTCACTTGGTGTCTCACAGGCCTCTCAGATATAACAAATTTAAAACCAAACACTTACTTGTCCATCCAACACCTGTTTCTTCTTCTTCTTCTTTTTTTTTTTTTAAAGATTTATTTATTTGAGAGAGAGAGGGAGGAAGAGAGCACGCAGGGGCAGGGACAGAGAAGCAGACTTCCCGCAAGCGTGCAGTCTGACACAGGGCTCCATCTCACATCCCTGAGATCACAACCTGAACAGAAATTGTGAATCAGATGCTTAACCCACTGGCACCTGTTTTTTCCCTCTTCTTTATCTCAATAAAACATCACCAAACTCCAGGTGTTAACGTGGATCTCACTGATTCCTCTCTGTCCCTCACACATTGCCCGCATCCAGTCGGCCTTCATATCCCTGCCAGTGATACCCTGAACTGACTTCTTTCCCTGTTCACTGCGTGCCCCCTGCTGCTGGTTGCCATACTCTTTGACCAAACTGCAACAACCCCAAACTGGTCTCTCCAATTCTCCTCTCGAGCTCGCCAATATATTCTTCACACACCGGTAAAGTTGAGCTTTTAAAAATGTAAATCAGACATCGCGAATGAAAAATGTCCGAGGCCCTGGTGGAGAGGAAAATTCAGGGACAGGAGGGTACAGCAGGACGGTCAGGCAGAGGCCTGAGGCGGGAGGGGAGAAGCAAGCAGGAAGCAGAAAATCCAAAGAGACCAGCGACACTCTGTCACCAGTTTACAAAAAGGCTGTAAATAAAGGTTACATTTAGCACATCTAGACACACAAGTGTATCTGAGAGGCAAGGGGCCACGGTAACCGTCATGACTGGACTCTGGACCTCTGCGCCTGGGGAACAAAACCTGAGCCCATCCAGGCGCTGACCACATGGGCCACGCTGTGTGGCGAAAGGCAGGGAAGACTCACCTCCCGCTCCCAGCTTTCCATCCGCAGCTTCTTCCACTGCTCTCTCTTGGCGAAGTAATCAGGATACATTGCCTTCTCGGATGGGTGCCAGTCATCTAAGCACCATTCGGGCACCTGTCAGGAGAGGAAATCACTGCATCAGCCCAGAGGAGGCACTAACATGCCACCCACAGGGCCTGCTCAGGAAGCAGAAGGCAAAAATGACCGTGTATTTTTATAACCGCTGCAAGCCATCAGACTGCTTCGAGCATGGCACAACGACAGTGGAGGGTGAGCTGGCACAGACCTAAAGAACACCTGAGAGTCAGTGTCACAGGCTGAGAAACCTCAAGTTCAACCAGAGAGAGCAGGCACCGATGCTCTCTGATCTGCATTCTCTAAATACCCAGAGCGGCCTGGTACCTGTAATTGCTCTGAAAGC